GATACAAATGTCAATACTCAAAAACGAGTTGCAAACCTTTCAGCTTTCCTGAATACGCAGTGCATTATTTACATGTCACAGTCCTTGAACAAATAAATTACAAAGGAAGACTAGAAAGGTAAAATGCTGAATTGAATTAAATTCCTATCCATTAGCAGAGGTATGTACAAAGACAATAGTTTCATGGCACACTACACATATCCATACAAGAATTCTCACTACATAAAACAAAAGGAATCTTCTCAGATAGTTCTGAACCCTGGGATTCTGACTTTGTCTGCCAACCCCCGAAGTAAAAGACTCACGAATAAAGACACAACAACCAAGTCAATGGGTTCAAATTGGGCAACTTTTATTTAACGTTACCTATTTAAGTGCTTAACCTAACTCAAAGGGGTGTCGGGAACTGGTATAACCAAACCCAGGTAGATTCACTACCAGATCTTAAAACAACAATTTTCGGGCGAAGCACCTGGGTTTCCTGGTAATAAACCCGGACCACCAAGCAAGGGAAATGAGTGAGGAGTCTCTTCCAAAGATCTTGCACCCTGACTCCTCTCATTTCATGGCCATTTGACTTCACTTCACCTTTTAACTAAAATGTAGGTGAGTGTTTAACTTAATGGCCTATCACCCCTTAAGGGGGTGCCTTAGGTGCACACCGACTAAAGGATTTCCCTAACTATTTTACGCCACGGATTGGGGGCAAATGTCTATTTCGCCCCCATCCCCCACCAATTCCCCTAACACCCCCTGGATACCTTGTTGTAAATCTGATAAAAACTGTTGGTTGCCCAACTCGGAAAGATGCACTCCATCCACCCGATACAATCTCTCGTCGTCTTGAGTGATGGCTACGTGCTCAATGTAGTAACCCCTCTGTCGTATCATAAACATTCGCATGGCCCTGTTTACTCTCTTTCTGGCTCTCTCGAGCCTCCACACGTCGCCTCCTCCCAACCACCTGCGACGTGGAATAATAGCCGACCATGCAATGTGCACACGGGGCCATGCCCACCAAATCTTTTGGATATCTGCGCATGCTTGTAGGAAGAGTGCTTTCCCAGTCAACAAGCCCAAATCGTTACCACCGAGGTGGATAACTAACACATCAGGAGGTGGCCCGCTCCTGGCACTAAACAAGGGGCACAAACCGTCCCAACGCAGGCCTCTCACGCCTCTCCATTCGACCGTCGCGATGGAAGCGAGACCCAAATGCTGGCCATAGGCAGTCTTAAGGGCCTCTCTTTCCGCCCAGAAGACAAAACTGTGTCCGCACACCAGGACCCTTCTCCTATGCGCCAGCCCAAATCGTTACCACCGAGGTGGATAACTAACACGTCAAGAGGTGGCCCGCTCCTGGCACTAAACAAGGGGCACAAACCGTCCCAACGCAGGCCTCTCACGCCTCTCCATTCGACCGTCGCAATGGACGCGAGACCCAAATGCTGGCCATAGGCAGTCTTGTGGCCTTCTCTTCCCGCCCAGAAGACAAAACTGTGTCCGCACACCAGGACCCTCTATCTATGTGCCAGCCCAACGTGACCAATGATAACAATAACTATAATGAAACTGGACGTACGTAACTCTTAAACGCGATGGACCTCCATCTGCCTAAGGCCTTAATTTTTCCTCTTCATATCCCATTGCTGATGCTGATGAGGCCGCGCCAATCCTAAATGAGTGTGTGTCGAATTTAAGGTTTCCCATCCCCAGAAGGTCCAGTGCTTTGGTTGTAACTGTCCAAAACTGATTAATTGGTCAGCGGTGTTCCGTCCTGATGACGGAACAGGTAACTTCCCTCCGTGCCCCTGAGTGCCGTAAATTGTGCCATAGCTGAAACTGGGCACAAATCTTCTTCCCCGCATCTTAGCAGGCTGATCACCTGACCCTTTAGCCCCCTGATCTGTTTTTGAGGTTCTGATTTTGATTTCAATTTTATCTTGGAAAACCTTAACATCAGAAACGAGCAGAGCGCGGTGTGAGGTATCAGACTTGGATAAAGACACCCATTCACTCACACGAAGGGCTGCAAAAAATGCCATCAACACTGCTGCATGAAACAAAGCCTGCTCGTATAGTGATGCGCACAAACGGGGCCATATTTGCCTAAGTCACTTAAGAATTGTAGGTGTCAAAGGCTGGCGGTCATGCTTGGGATGCCCGCACTGTCTAGACCATCCGGCTATAATTTTGTGGATGCGAAAGTCGTCAGTGGGATTGCTAAGGCCCTGGGCCTTAAACCAATATGCGAGCGCTGACAACTTTGATTTGATGGATTGTGGGGCCAAACCTCTCCTTTTGTGGTAAACACAAAACTGAGCCAAGTGCTCATAAGGCACCGGCATGGACTCGGGTAATTTATAATGCTGCCTAAAGTGTCCCTCAAAGCAAACTCCAAACCCTATGGCGCCTGAAGCGTCCGATGAGACTTGTAAAGCATTCTTAACCATCAACTCCTGTCGCCAAAACAAAACTCCATTAAATTGGCGAAGGAATTGTAGCCAAATGAACAAATCAGACTTTATGGCTAGCGTTATCCTAATGTGATGGTGGGGCATGGCTACACCCGAGATAGCATCACAAAGTCTGCGAAGAAACGCCCGGCCAGGTGCTATTACCTTACAGGCAAAATTTAAATGGCCAATTATCTGTTGAAACTCCCGTAAGGTAGCCTTCTGCCGTGACAAAAAGTGTTCTAACTTATCTATCAAACCCTCAACCTTTGCCGCCGGCAGCCTGGAAAATTGATTAACTGTATCTAATTCTATCCCCAAAAGGTCAAAACCGTATGGGGACCTTCCGTTTTTCCTCAGCCAGAGGCACAACGCCGCAGCAACCGCGCTGCTGAATCAAAAGATGTGTAGCTTACTGAGCATTGCTCATCGGGAATGGCGTCATTCACAGAGCCCCCTCTGGGGTAAGACAAATGATGAATGAGGCGATATTCACCGATGGCTTTTTTGGGCACTATTCCCAACGGGAAAAACCTAAACTGAGGCGTGGGGGGTGCAGAAAATGGTCCCAGAACCCTGCCCTCCTTTACCTCTTTATCTGTTTTTTGTTTGACCACTGCCTCCAAGCCTATAACAGATTTCAAATTAGGAGATAAACAGGGGGAACGTGGCCCAAGGGCCGGAATCCGGAAACCATCCATACAGCCACGAAGCAAATAAATTGCCTCAGCTCTGTCAGGGTATATTTCCAGCCAGCCACTAAGAGGACCCACCTTGACTGGGCTGGGGCCCTTTCTGAACATTAGCCTGGGCAGGGTTCTTTCTATGAAACTGGGCATTAAATCTTGTGGGCTTTCCTTTATAACAGGTCTTAGCTGCGTGGTTACCCTGGCATATTGTACAGGCGTGTTGAAATCTGCAGTTCTTGCGGGAGCAAGCTCCCTGCGCCGCATATTCCCGGCACATAGGCCTTTGTTTTTGTGGCTGTTGTGCTAGGCCTCCTTGCCGAAAGGGCTGACCTCCCCTATTGTTTTTGGATGGTATGGCCACTATCGGCCTTCTCACCAGAGACGGATCTGGTTGTATTCATTACCTCCATCCACAGTTGACTATCAATGAGGTCCCATCGCTTATTAGGCATCGTGGCAGCCTCAGCATGCAAGCGGTTATCCTAAATCAGCCACGCCTGACCGGAATAATTAACATATGCCCCGTAAATTATATTTTGATATTTAAACAGGGACTTAGCCCTATATGGATGAGCCTCAACTATCAAGGATGCATAAATGGTGTAGCAAGCTATCCAGTTTTTCCAATTTTGCTCCACCCTCCTCTTCTTTAATTTTTCCTTTGCGTTCCTCATCCAGATCCTCTTTTTCCTTCTTCTCTAATTCTCTAAAGTATACGGAAAAAAATATCTATATATTCATTCCTGAGGATCTTATCAATGGTTTTTGAGACAGATGGGCCCCTAGAGAGGCCGAGGCCGCCGTAGAAATTATCGGCAGAACCCATTTGTCAGTTCCCCAAAATTGGTTGGCCTCCCCTGATCTAGCCACTTCTAGGGATATTGGGGCCACAGCAGTGTCATGGGAAACGGCCTTAATGACCGAAACCCCCGATGCAGCCGGCGCTGAATCCGTGTGAGTAAGTGATGTAGTTTGTGTCTGATTTTGGCCCCAGGGCCAAACCAGTGTGGTGCTGTTACCTGTATACATATACAGGATATATATATAGATATATGTATTGTGGATCGTGTTTTTATGCTTTTAAACTGTATACTGTTGTTTGTTATAAGTTGTTGTAAACCGCGTTGAGTTGCCGGCTAGGCTGAGAAACGGCGGTATACAAGTATAGCAAATAAATAAATAAATAAATAAATATACGTGGAGGGTCCCTCCGGGACAGCAGGTTGCGAAGAGGGGTTGGTCGACACCATGATTTCAGGCGTGGAAGGTTGACTCTGACGTGCTGGCAGCACTGGGTCAGCCGGCTTGGGCGTAGATGTCGCGGCTGGCCTCGCTGTCGGCACTTGACCAGCTGTTGCAGTGCTCTGCGGTTCTGCTTGGGCCACCATGGGCCCAGTTGTTATCGTTGAACTCGCCGCTGGAGCTTGGACAGCCATTGCCTGGGGCCGAGATAAAGCCCGAGCCCCGGGATCACCGTCTGGCTGGTTGGACTCTGGCTGGGTGGCCCGCTCTCCTTCTTGAGTCCCAGCTTTTCGAGCAGACTCTAGTGGAGACATGTGAGAAAGCAAATTCATAAAGATTAGCTTAGTACTAGCCCATCGAGCCGGGCGCGGCCCGGCCTCCCTCACCGGCAAACCCCTCTCCCTCTCAAACTTATCCATTCTGGCCATTAAGGCCTCGATGTCCTCGGCCGAAACGCCCTCATCCTCCGATGATGACTCGTGAGGAGGGGGGGCGTTTCGCCGGCGTCTTCTTGGCCGGCCCCTGTCCCTTAGAGCAGCCCATGTTCTTCTTTGGCGCCATCCTGAAGGAAAAATTGATGCTGCTCCATCAAATATAGCAAAGAATGCTGGTCTCCTCTAAAATGTCATCAGTTCAAGCTGGAGCTAACCTCAGCAGCTCACTTCCCACCTGTGATCTCCTATCAATGGTAAACAGACTATGAACCTGACTCGGCTTAAGCAAGCCCTATGCTCATGTGGTCTGCCTGATGAACTGTCGCTGACTGATGGGGCCTATTGATCTACTCACATTTGCATATCGCAAAGATATCCCTATCAGAAGCTGGATCTAACAGCAGGAGCTCCCCTCCTGGCGTAATTATTTTTTTTGTTGTTATCAGAAGCTGGATCTAACAGCAGGAGCTCCCCTCCTGGTGTAATTTATTTATTTATTTATTTATTATTTTTTGGCTATCAGAAGCTGGATCTAACAGCAGGAGCTCCCCTCCTGGCGTAATTTTTTTTGTTATCAGAAGCTGGATCTAACAGCAGGAGCTCCCCTCCTGGCGTAATTAATTTTTTTAAATTATTTTTTTGCTATCAGAAGCTGGATCTAACAGCAGGAGCTCCCCTACTGGCGTATTTTTTTTTTTTTGTTGCTATCAGAAGCTGGATCTAACAGCAGGAGCTCCCCTCCTGGCGTTATTTATTTATTTTTGCTATCAGAAGCTGGATCTAACAGCAGGAGCTCCCCTCCTGGCGTAATTTTTTTGTTGTTGTTGCTATCAGAAGCTGGATCTAACAGCAGGAGCTCACCTCCTGGCGTAATTTTTTGTTGCTATCCGAAGCTGGATCTAACAGCAGGAGCTCACCTCCTGGCGTAATTTTTTGTTGCTATCCGAAGCTGGATCTAACAGCAGGAGCTCACCTCCTGGCGTATTTTTTTTGTTATCAGAAGCTGGATCTAACAGCAGGAGCTCCCCTCCTGGCATTATTTATTTATTTATTTATTTTGCTATCAGAAGCTGGATCTAACAGCAGGAGCTCCCCTCCTGGCGTAATTTAAATTTTTTATTTATTTTATTTTATTTTTATTAGAAGCTGGATCTAATAGCAGGAGCTCCAATTCATTTGCAAAGCTGGTTTAAATCATCAACCAGCCAGCTGCTTGCACTGACAAAATGCCCGACCCGGCCCAGCTCGAGGTTAGCCCAAAATGGCGGCCGCCTCTTCTCCTAAAATGGCCGCCATCAAGTGCAACCAAACCGAAACCGAAACCAGTATCAGGAGGGCCCAGCCGGCATATGAAACAAAAACCTGCTGCAGTAATGACCTCACACCAGGCCCACATGGCAACCCAAGGCCGAGCTCGGCCTAAGCCTCCACGAGCGGGCCTGGCCAAAGGACGAGGAAAGAAGAGGCAGGAAGTGGGAGGGGGGGTGGGTGCTTGAAACCAGACCCCCGATGAAGCGACCCACAGGCCTTCCTGGAGGAGGGGGTGCCGCCCACCCCCACAGGGCCCCGACACAGACCTGTAGGTATTCTTTTTCCCTTCTGCTTCGTCTGGTCTTCTTTCTTGAGTTCTTCACTCCACTCTCCTCTTCACTCAGATCTTCTCCCAATCTTCAGTCCTCTTTAGTCTGCCTTCACTCTGTCTTCTCTTTTCTTCTTTCTTCCCTTTTCTTCAATCTTGTCTTCTCCCTGGTCGTCGCTGCGTCTTCTCTCTTCAGCTTCCAGGCTCCGAATGAGCCTGGGTGGGGGCTGGCCTGTACTAACAGGCCACGCCCCCTAGTCCTCTGGAAGGTTCCATTGGAACCATCCCTGCCTCGTGGGAGGCAGACAAACCATTTTTCTCTCCCCATTTCACGGGGAGAGGAAATTTATTAGATAAGCAGATGGATTGCTTTCAAATAACCACTGACTAAAATAAGATCTAAAAAATTGTATCATATTATGCAGCTCTTTGAAAATTTAAATAAAGGGTCATGATTTGCATGTCTGGATCCTATTATGTTTCACTCCATTCATACAACTGGCAAATATGTGGCATACCTGAGCATTTATTCTTTACAGCATGCTGAGAAGTGGGTTTGTATTAAAGGACTTCTACATCCCTTCTTTTTTTCTCTCCCTTTAGAGTGGCTTTCTGCACGCACCTGGAGTGTGACCGCATAGCTGTTTCCTCATTCCCTCTCCTCCCCTATCAAGGTTTTCCAGTCCAGGGGCAACATGCCTGCTTAGTCAGAATGGGAAAATCCCAATCTTACTACAGTATTACTAGCTTAGGAGTCACTGAATAATATGCTACATTATTGTTGCTTTGTGGTTTTTCCTGTCTCTTTGGACTTCATCCCACACACGAGAGGAAAGTCAGAGAATCATCTTACTTTGTTCCCTACCATATTTCCCTGTCTTCTGGGATGGCCAGCCATCCCATGTCCTCGTCCTCTCCATCTTTTGTTGTTTCAAGCCATTTAGAGTCAGGTAGCACTCCTGAAGATGGACTCTGGCTTCCATTTACATGTGCTGCAGAAATGGAGCTGCATAAAGTCCCACCAGAAGTGCCCTTAAGTCATGTGATGGCCTGTGTGGAACTCCCATGGGGCTCCATTTCCAAAGTGCATGGAAACAGAGCCCTAAACCCATAAGGCAAGGTCCAAGGACCTTTATGGCACAGGTCATCGTTTCATCTCTCCTTCCAATTCAAGGATATGGTCCAGGAAGGGAGAAAACACTAATGGAGGCAAAGAATGGTTGCATCTCTCAATGGTGGACAGGAATGTTTTTGCTATGATTCTTTCAGACCTAATCAGAAGAGCTTTAAACTGAACTATGTTGGGATGGAGATGTGTTGTATGTCAGCCTACTCAGCCTGTGATTGTGTCTGATGTTCACGTTGATGTTTTTGATGGGAATGATGTTCATGTTGATGTCCAAGATGGGAATGGGTGTTCATGATGGTGGGCCTGGGTCTGTTGGCATTGGGGAGGAGGGTTTGATTGGGCCTGAGTTAAGCTCAGATGAGAGGCCTGAGCTGTCTCAGGAAGATTCATAAGGCAAGGCCACATTCTTGGGAGAGGGCCTTCACAGTTTTTCCTGAGAACAACTTTCTGAAGATGATTTGTCAGTTGCAGAAGTTAATGAGAGAGAAGATAATGAAAGCTCTTACAGAAAGCAAAGTTTTAGAAAACAGAGACAAAATCTTCAGAGACTGAGACAATCGGTTTGTCTACAGCAAAAGAGAAATAATAAACTATTATCTGGTAGGAAGATCAATTTTGGGATCTGAAAAAGCTTTACAATGATTCATGGGAGAGATATGCCTCAGTTGAGTCAACATTGTTATTTTATCACGGTGCTCTTAGTTTCATGTACAAAGTTTTTGCCAAGCTTAAGATTTGTCTATGAGATTTTCTTGCTGTCTTGTTTCATGGATTTAAGTGCCTAGTTTCACGATTTTTTATGTAATCATGGATCTTGTTTTCCCTTGAAGATTATGGACTATTTCATATATTTTATATATTGCACCTTTACTGTTTTTGCTGTTTTTTAATTGCTTTGCCTACATATATTCTTCAATAAACTGCTTGCTGATTTTATCAAGATGGTGTGGTGTTTAAGGTCAGAGGTGTTCCTGCTCTGAAAAATAGGATTTTATCAGGACATAAGAACTCAACTGGGCAAGAAGTACAATTCAGCAGTGGGAGGAGAATAAGCTTTAAACAAGCAGCTAGGAGGAGTGGTCTATGGTCTTTGGTGTCTCTAGAGATTAAACCAATGAACAAAGCATGGGAAATAAACAAGATGAACTTAGATTCTTAATGCAACAAACCAAATATAATACAATAGACATCACTGAAAACTGGTGGGATGAATCTCATGATTAGAATGTAGCATTAGGAAGGTATAACAAATTTATGAGAAATGGATCAAACTGGAAAAAATGAGACATAGCATTATTTGTTTAAGATGCTTACACCTTTAAGGAAATCCATGATGTCAATATTGGAAGCCAGGATGAGAGTATCGGGGTAAAAATTAAGGAGGAAGAAAAACAGGGTTTACCATAACCAAACTGAGAATTTGGATAATGCCTTCTTGGAAGAGATGATCAAGTATTCAGAAAGGAAACATGTCGTAGTGAGATTTCAAGTATCTTGATATTTGCTGGAAGAATACAAAGTCCAACAAATTCCTCACTTGGATTTTTGACAATTTTATGTTCCAGAAGGTGGAAAAAACAAGGGGGTCAGCTATTTTAGATTTGATCCTAACCAATAGTCTCCAGAACAGCAGAAAACAAGCTTGCCCTCTCCTCAATATGACATTATTTCAGATATTTATACTTGGTTATTATGTCCCCTCTCAGCCTTCTTTTCTCCAAGTTAAACATACCTACATCCCTCAGCCTTTTCTAATAGGGCTTAATTTTCAAATCTTTGATCCTTTTGGTCACTTTTCTCTGGACACGTTTCAGCTTATCAATATCCTTCTTTAATTACAGTGCCCAAAACTGGACACAATATTTCAGATGAGGTCTGACCAAAGCAGAATGGAGTGGGACTATGACTTCCCTTGATTTCAATATTATACCTTTACTGATGCAGCCAAGAATCACATTGGGTTTTTTGTGATACTATTACTTCCCTTGATCAAGAGACTATACCATTATTGATGTAGTCTAGAATCACATTGGCATTTTTATCTATTACATCAAATGATTGACTCATGTTCAGCTTGAGATCTAATATGACTCCTATACTGTTGACAAGCCAGGTGTAATGTGAGACAGTTGTATAATCTCTCTCTGTGTGTGTTGACAATTATGGGCTCGGATGAGTATTGTTTGTTGGATGTACAGGACTCAAACTGAGAGATGCTCCACACCCCTTTTGGAGACCATCAGCCACCCAAAATTATAATTTACAGCAGTAAAGCAGTTACTTTTCAGCCAATATAGAAATTTCTATCATGGGATGAAGTCATTAATTACTACGAAAGCAGTTCCATTTTGCCACCGTTGATATGTTGCTTTCATATGACTGTTATATTATGGCAATCTAGTTGAAAATCCATAGCTTTTAGTAGGCAGATTTTCATTAAAATTCTAGTAGTTCAATGTTAAATAAGGAATGCAAATTGTCAGCTAATGCATGGTTTTTCATTGCTGGCCATTTGCAAAAAAAAGAAAAGAAGGGATGTGTGTGTGAAGATTGTTCCAGAATGATAAATGTTGCTAGCATCCCACTTACGAATCTCACTATACTTCCATCTTACCTTTTTTTTAGAATGGACTCCATCCATTTTAAAAGAAAAGAAATTGGATTCAGTAGGATCTGTGTTCTTTTTCAATGACATTTAGCAGTTCAACTTAAAAATACAGAAGATAGCATTATAAGTTTTACCCAAAATGATTATGACAGCCATTTGAATAAAATACAGATTTTGCAAGCTGTAGAGCATATCATTAGAACACATCCTGGCCTAAGGTTTGGTTCACAAACTACAGCGCTCGAACCAAGTCATTAAATCTATCTAAAAGGGCCTCATTTGAGAAGCAATAAAATTTTTAATCATTTTATTATTAAAAGAGTGTTTAATATGTAGCTAATTAAATGCCAAAGGCAGGTTATCTGAGTTTAACCTTCAAAAAGAAAATGATGTATCAAAGTCTGCCTCTGGCATCATGGGATAGAAATGTCATCCTCATAATCATTGCGTGACAACTAGCTAGTGGCCTTTTCTGGAGGTATGGTTAAATTACCTGATTAAATTAATAGCCATTTAGATGTTTTAGGAACTGCACAGACCTATACTAAATGAAAATTAGCTCCATTATATTTTCTGAGTGGGCTAGATAGACCCTAAAATAAAACACGTATGCCATTGTCCACATTTTTTAGATTAAGCAATTAAAAGCCCTTTCTAAAAAGCGACTCATTTTCTATAATGTGCCGACAAGTAGATCTGCCCTAATGATCACAAGATATGTTTTTATCTCTGGCTTTCCTGTTTATACTGCTGGTATGAAACCAGTCAACTTGCTGATTTTATTCACTGCAAGGGTTAAATTTGCATTTTTGGCAGCTATAGTTGGCTCTACACATTTACAGGTTTAACTCTGACAGATTTGATTATTTGTTCATTCAGTATGTTCTCTTTAGGAATCTCTTGGTCCTCCAAGGAAACTCAACCTCTGTGGTATTACATAATGTAGAAGAATGTACTATACAATAGCTTGCAAAATGGAAACTGTAGGCATTATTCTAGAAAATGATGGGCTGTGAGCCTCAAAGTCTTCACTGCAACTACCAAATCTCCTATAAAATCTCTGGATAGTGTTAGACAAGCCACCGTCTTTTAGCAAGTGACTCAGTCTGTACCGATATGGTAGTATTACTACCGGTCTAGTTTGTGGTATCATCATATATTATGGTTTGGGGAAAACATGTTCTGAGTAAATACTGTAACCAGAGGGTATAAGATATTTAATTCCCCCTTTAAGCCCATAGTCAAAATGCACTGGGCATAGACTATATCAAAGCTTTTTAAATACGGGTCACAACCCATTTGGGATCCACTGACTGAATGCTAGGGTAGCACAAAAATGTGTAAAACCTAGTGCCTATTTTAGACATTTATATGAATCCAGGAGAAAAAAGGAGAGTCAACAGAGTATATTTTGCCACTCGAGACTGCAAACCAAGCATGCCAGCATGGCATAAAAATGTTGAAGATACTCAATGTCCTGCAGTATCAAATATTCAGTGAAGATTTAATAATTTATGTAAAAATATACAAGCACGTCCATCTCATTAGTATGCTAATTTCTTTGAATATTGGCA